CCCAGCCACTGGGTGTGGGCAGGGAGGTGTCCTGGTTGTGTTCCATCTGTTATGAAACCTCAGGCAAAGACAAAATCAAGCTGTGCTGACTCAGCTCCCCTGATCAGAAAAGCAGCTTGGGGCTCTTGGGCACAGAAAGGAATGTAACCCAGCAGCCATCGTTTGTAGGATTGCTTGATGCCCCCCAGGAATCTGAGTTTAGAGGAAACACCAGCCGAGTCCTGGGCTTGCTCCCTCCATGACAGAATTCCAGCTGCACTGCCCCTGAGATCGAGCTCTCAAGAGAGGAAACTGTGGCAGTTTCCTTAAACTGCATCAAAACAAAGCAGTTCTGGTGACTTACCCAGATAGTAATCTACGCTCTGTTTTCATTGCTGTAGATATTCTTGCCAATTCCCACCAAGAAGTTAGCATTCCTTTGTGTTTCTCTGCCTTGGGGAGCACCGGGAGGAAGGTGAAGCAGCATTTTCTAGGCCAAGAGAACTTTGTTGGTTGGTCCCGGAGGAAGAGGACATTGAGGCCGGGCTTGGAGGAAAAGAGGCAGAAGCAGCCAAAGGAAAAGAGTATTGACGGGCTTCCCTGGTAGCGCAGTGGATGAGAGTCTGCCTGCCGATGCAGGGAACATGGGTTCGTGCCCCGGTCCGGGAGGATCCCACATGCCGCAGAGCTGCTGGGCCCGTGAGCCATGGCCGCTGAGCCTGCGCGTCGGGAACCTGTGCTCCGCAACAGGAGAGGCCACAACAGTGAGAGGCCCGCGTACCGCAAAAAAAAAAAAAAAAAAGAGTATTGAGGGCTTCTTCCAGACAGGGAAGGGTATTGCAAAGACCCGCTGTGCCCAAGCCTGGTCCAAAAGCAATGCAAGTGCTCTCTTTCAGAGATCACACAAGTCTGGAAAGTGAGCAGGTCAAAAGAGGCCAGAGTGACTGAAGACCAGTTCAGAAGGCCTTTCCTCGATGTTGTAGACTGTAAGATTCCGTAAGACCTTTGCACAAATCTGGAAAGGGGAGGCCCAGCTGTGACTGAGATTGAATTTCTAGGCAACTCAGAAGGATGAGGTTCAGTACAGATTCAATCTGTTTTGAAGAAATAAAATGAAATCTGATATTGCTTATAATTCTAAATTTTATGGAGCAGGGAATTCCCTGGCGGTCCAGTGGTTAGGACTCTGCGTTTTCACTGCCAGGGGCCTGGGTTTGATCCCTGGGGATCAGGGAACTAAGATCCCACAGGCCACGTTGCATGGCCAAAAATATAAAATAAATTTTATGGAGCAGAATGTATACTTGAATCAAAATATTAGTATAGCACCCCATACACTCTTCCTATGAGTGAACAATAGGGCAGAACTGGGAAGCAAAACCCCAAATGGGACTCAAGGAGCCTTCTTCTCAGCCTTCTAAAAAAAGTCGGGGTGGGGAAGAATTAGGGCCGAGGTGGAGGAGAAGGGTGAGCAACAGACATTCTGGAATGGGGAGGTTTTAGTTTGCTAGGGCTGCCATAACAGAATGTCACAGACGGGGTGGCTTAAACAACAGATATTTATTTTCAATTCTGGAAGCTCAAGATCAAGGTGTCTGCAGAGTTGATTTCTTCTGAGGCCTCTCTCTTTGGTTTGTAGGTGACTGTTCTTTCTCTGTGTCTTCGTATGGTCCCTCTGTGTTTGTCTGTGTCCTAATCTCTTCTTCTTCTTCTTTTTTTATACACCTTTATTAGAGTATAACTGCTTTACAATGTTGTGTTAGTTTCTGCTGTACAACAAAGTGAATCAGCTATATGTATACATATATCCCCCATCTCCTCCCTCTTGAGCCTCCCTCCCACCCCTCTAGGTCATCACAAAACACTGAGCTGATCTCCCTGTGCTATGCAGCAGCTTCCCACTAGCTATCTATTTTACATTTGGTAGTGTATATATGTCAGTGCCACTCTCTTACTACATGCCAGCCTCCCCTTCCCCGCTGTGTCCTCATATCCGTTCTCTACACTGCGTCTTTATTCCTGCCCTGCCACTAGGTTCATCAGTACCATTTTTCTAGATTCCATATGTATGTGTTAGCATATGGTATTTATTTTTCTCTTTCTGACTTACTTCACTCTGTATGATAGTCTCTAGGTCCATCCACCTCACTACAAATAACTCAATTTCGTTTCTCTTTATGGCTGAGTAATATTCCATTGTATATATGTGCCACATCTTCTTTATCCATTCATCTGTCGATGGACACTTAGGTTGCTTCCATGTCGTGGCTATTGTAAATAGTACTGCAGTGAACATTGTGGTACATGTCTCTTTTTGAATTATGGTTTTCTCGGGGTATATGCCCAGTAGTGAGAATGCTGGGTCATATGGTAGTTCAATTTTTAGTTTTTTAAGGAATTTGCATCCTATTTTCCATAGTGACTGTATTAATTTACATTCCCAACAACAGTGCAGGAGGGTTCCCTTTTCTCCACACCCTCTCCAGCATTTTTTGTACCTCTTCTTCTTATAAGGACATAAATCATAGTAGATTAGGGCCCACCCCAATAAAACCCATTTTATCTTAACCACCTTTTTAAAGGTTCTATCTCCAAATTAGTTACAGCTTAAAGTACTTCAACAGTTAGGACTTCAACAGATGGATTTGGGGGAAACACAATTGGTATGGACGACATCTATGGGCTCCCCAGCAGATGGGGAGTGACCATGAGGAAGCATTCATTCTCCTGGCTCCTCCCTGATGGGCTGCTGATAGGCAGTGACTGCTTTCACTCTGAAAACCACAGACCCTGTTGGCCACCCTCTGCTACTACAGCCCACTCTCTGGATTCCCTCCTCTTGCCCTTGGGACACTCCACCTTGTTAATTTCCCCTAACCCTTCCTATACCTTTGTGAATAGACTTTTCATTGATCTCTCCTTCATAACTCATCTAAATGTTCCATGGTTTCCTCTCAGGACTCAGAACTTTCCTATGTGCTAAGTACTGCTATAAATATAAACATACATCTTCGCTTTTTTTTTTTTTTTTGCGGTACGCGGGCCTCTCTCTGTTGTGGCCTCTCCCGTTGCGGAGCACAGGCTCCGGACGCGCAGGCTCAGCGGCCATGGCTCGCGGGCCCAGCCGCTCTGCAGCATGTGGGATCTTCCCAGACCCGGGCATGAACCCGTGTCCCCTGCATCGGCAGGCGGACTCTCAACCACTGCGCCACCAGGGAAGCCCCATCCCCTTTTTTATAAAAAGCTTTATTGAGATATAATTTATATACCATACAATTCACTCATTTAAAGTACACAATTCCATTGTTTTTCGAATATTCACAGATATGTGCAAACATCACCATGGTCATTTTTAGCACACTTCATCAACTTCACAAAGAAACCCCACATCCTTTAGCTATCAACTCCTTTAGCAACCCCCATCCACCTCAGCCCTAAGCAACCACTAATCTACTTTCTGTAGATTTCCCTATTCTGGACATTTCATATGAAAATATTCATATAGTATGTGGTCTTTTGTGACTGGCTTCTTTCATGTACCCTAATGTTTTCAAGATTCTTCTACATTATAGCATGTGTCAATACTCCATTCCTTTTTGTGGCTGAATAATATTCCATTCTATGGTTATACCATCTTTTATTTATACATTCGTCAGTTGATAGACATTTAGATAGTTTTCACCTTTTTGCTACCATGAATAGTGCTGCTGCAAACATTCAGGTACAAGTTTTTTGTTTTCATTTCTCTTGGCTTGGAATTGCTGAGTCATATGGTAAATCTACGTTTAACCATGTGAAGAACTGCCAGACTGTTTTCCAAAGGAGCTGCCCCATTTTGCATCTCTGATGTAATGTAATCAGATTTCTCTACATCCTCACCAACAATTGTTTATTATCTAAACTTTTAATTCTAGCCATCCTAATGGGTGTGAAGTAGTAGCTCATCGTGGTTTTGATTTGCATTTTCCTCATACCTAATTATGCCGAACATCTTTCAATGTGCTTATTGGCATATATGTCTTCTTTTATGCTAACAACTAGTTTATGAGGTAAGTGGCTTATTAGCTCCATTTTACAGATGAGAAGACTGAGGCACAGTGAGGTGAAGTGACTTACCTAAAGTATACGGCTGGTGAGGGTTAGACTAGGATACGAACTCCAGCAGGCAGCTTTCATGTCCCTAACCATTACACAACACTGCCTTTGCATAAAAGAACAAGACCATTTGGGGGGATAGCAGAGCAATAGGGTAGAATAGCCAAGGGACTTTTAAGAAGAGGAATATCTACTACTCACTTTTAAATAGTTTATATGCTGCATATAAATCTCTTTCATCTCCATGTGCGAATGGTTGTTTTATGGAAAGGGGACCAAGTTCTTTCATGTTTGGGTTAAAGCCAGGGTGAAAATAACAGAACAGTCATAAGATATAGGGCAGAGAACAAGAACTCAGCAGGGGCAGAAAGTTAGAGCCAGAGCTGAGCAAGATCATATAGAGCCCCTAGTAATTCACAGAAATCTGGGAGAGGGCTCTCTCTTTGGAATAATCCAGGCAGTTCAAACAAACCTTATCTGGATCCGAAGGGACTGGGAGACCCCAGCTGGGTTTCACTGATAAAGTAGTTTAATAGAAGTATGGCCAGATGTGTCTCCACCTCCTCCCCACTCTACCCCAACCCAGTCCTTAGCCTCTTATCCAAATGGACATGTGGGTGCCAAAGCGCACTCTTTCCTCCTTCTCTCTTTGTATCAACAGTGAACACACTGGCCTTTGTTTCTGACCTTGAAGAGACTGTACAATCAGCATCATTCTCTAAAATATTTCTCAAAGACAGGCCTATAAAAATTCAGAGACGTTAGGGCTTCCCTGGTGGCGCAGTGGTTGAGAGTCCGCCTGCCGATGCAGGGGACACGGGTTCGCGCCCCGGTCCAGGACAATCCCACATGCCGCAGAGCGGCCGGGCCCGTGAGCCATGGCTGCTGGGCCTGCGCGTCCGGAGCCTATGCTCCGCAACGGGAGAGGCCATAACAGTGAGAGGCCCGCGTACCGCAAAAAAAAATTCAGAGGCGTTAGAGGACACCCCATTTAGAAGCTTTCTTCCCTTAAATTCATCCCAGGAATCTTCTCACTTTTCGTCCAAGTACTCCCACCCCCACCCTACACACACACACACACACACACACACACACACACAGACACAAATACACACTCCTCCTGGTTCACTGCCACACTGCCTGATGATTCTCTCTGATTGAGAGGCTAAGCAAGGTAACAAGAAGGGAGGAATGAGTCTGTGAATCAAGTATATTTTCTGAATTTCCATCCTGTATCCCCAGCATCTGTCTGCTGATTTATCAAGAGAACCAGCGATGGTTTAGGAATGATGGACAGTCCTCTGAGGAAGCAGTGCCAGAAGCATGATGAGCAGAAATGCTGAACAAGATGCTGGCTGGAGGGGAAATCAATCTCTGAGGCCGATTAGTTTGGGTGAGAGCCAAGAGAGGCAGAAACTTGTTACAGCTACACTCATCTTTCTTGCTACCTTTTTTTTCTAGATCCTAGAATAAAATTAGATTAGCCTCAGAGCTCCAGGTAGCTAACTGGTCTGAGCATATCATAGCAATGTCTCAATGTAGATGACTATTAAAAAATGCGTAAGATTCATCTTCCCAGTTCATCTGTAAGATATGTAAGGACAGGGCTCTGACCTATCTTCTGTAATTCATGGAGTAACCAGTACAACGCTGGGCCCAAAAGGTCACTAAGCAACTTGCTGAAGTGAATCAGCTTCAAAGTAGAAACAAAAGGAACTTTCATTTTTTGAAAAACAAAAAGACTGTCTAATCTGCCAGCTGAGTCTAAGTCGTTATGATGCACAGAGAATAAGATGGATAATTATAAACAGGGAAGCCCGCAGTGAATTTTGGTGGGGGTGGGGTTCTATAAAATGTTAAAAAACATGACTGTCCTACAGACATGTAGTCAAAGATTTATCTAATTCGTTAGTGAGGGAATCAGCAGGATGACAAAGCCCAGTCAATCAAAGGAGGATACAAGGGACTGTTTCATATGATCCTTAAAAGAAAGGATGTGGAAGTAGGTTCGCAAAGAAGATATAACTAGTTAATGTCATATATGGCAACAAGATCAGACCCTTTGAGGTTATGTTTTCTTTCTGAAAGAATTCATTTGCATTTCTACTGAATAGACGTCATTTGTAGCCTAGCCATATTCTCAAGTTAACATCTAACTTTACAGAGTCTGGGCCCAAATCATTAGTAATTAGTAAGTCTAACTATAAGTTACCTCTCTTTGAGCATCAGATGATCCTTAGGTGGGCTTGTTAGACAATGTGATGGCATGACATTAAATGGCATGTGTAATATTTTTTTGTCTTGTTTCTAAGTTTTAGATAATTTTTCTTTTTTTAAATATTTATTTATTTGGCTGCGTCGGGTCTTAGTTGTGGCACACAAGCTCTTCGCTGCGGCACACAGGCTTCTCTCTAGTTGTGGCACGTGGGCTCTCTAGTTGTGGGGCACGGGCTTAGTTGCCCCATGGCATGTGGGATCTTAGTTCCCCGACTGGGGATCAAACCCGCGTCCCTTGCATTGGAAGGCAGATTCTTAACCACTGGACCACCACCAGGGAAGTCCCTAGGTAATTTTTCTTAATACACAGCTTCACTCCTTATAAGATACCATTTGCCTACAAATAAAGTCACCACACATGATCACAGGTAAGCCTAGAAAATGGTTTTCAGAAGTTATCTAACCCAAACTGCAGACCCTGCCTACTTTCCCTGCCCTCACTCTTTTGCCATTTTCACACCTCCGTCCATGGTCTTTAGTTCATGGCAGTAACCACCCATGTGGAATGAAGAGACTTACCTCTCTCTGTCTGACTTATTTTAAGCCCTATTTACAAGCCAATATTTGTAAGCCAATATTTCCTACTATGGATGGGAATCACAGTTGTTAAGCAAGTGTTTGTTTTCTTTTGCTTTTTCCCTCACAGGCCAAAAGCCATTCCTTTGGATCCCACTCAAGTTTAGGTTGGCTGTGCCAATACCATCAACTACATTGACTATTTTTAGGCAGTGGTATCTGACAATGAGGGAATTGCTTGTTGGATGACTTGGAGTTTATCCCCGCCCTATTGAACCAGGATTAATAAACTCAGCAACAGAGCTTCAGAGGCGGAACTGTCCGCGTCCGAGGATATGGCTTGGGAAGAGCCCGAACTCGCCCTCTGCGGTGCTCTAACACCAGCCGAGACGGGTGAGGGGATTCGCACTGCTAACTGTCAGTGCCACCTGCTCTACCAGCCAGGGATAAAAACAATAGCATTTCACCTGTTCAGCCCCCTTTGCTGTGAACCCTCCAGCCTCGTCATAGCCCTCCCTGATGGTTCCAGGAGACCCCAAGGGGCGTCTCACATGCACACATAGAAGAGTCCTCTGGGTTATCACTAGCACTGGTCATTTTTTTCCAGTCGTGCCCCAGCCTGCTGGGCTGAGGTCTATCAGAGAGCTCGCTTATGCCCTTGAAGCCACCTGGAGGCAACCACAGACCACCACTCATTGTGCCGAAGCCCCCAACTGCAGGCCCACAAATCCCCTGTCTTACGCCCTCCTTGCCCCTGCCAGGTGCTGTGGAACTGCTCACTTAGTTTTAATTCTTTCCTTATTGCAGCCTTTCATCCTAGGACTCAGGCAGGTGTCCTTAGTGCATGGAGGGAGAAGCATCTGCGTGTCTCTCCTCCTCCCACATGGACTTATCCTTTGCTCCATAAGATGAACTCTTTCCTGGGAGACTCATGGGAAAGCCCTCTTAGGAGGCCCAGTGCTATGATTCTCCAAACACGCCCAAGTTTGTCTGAATCCAGGCTGGACAAAGTTCAGGTTCAGGCTGAGACCCCATTACTCCTTCAAATGGACACACATGGGAAAATAGGACATCACCCGGCAGCTCTGAGAGGCTCAGGAATGTTTCCCTGGCAAAGCAGAGGAACACGGGACAGTTTCCTACCTCTTCTGACTCATATCTCTAAAGTGAGCTCTTGTTACTCAGGTGAAGAAAAAGTGAGGTAATGAAGAAGAGATACAGGGCAGTGGAGACCCAGAGCATCATGTCAACTGTGTTGTTAACAAGTCTGGGCAAGTCATTTCCTCTCCCTGGCCTCACTGCCCTCACGTGTAAAATCAGAGTGGTGCTCTGTCTAGATCAGGGGTCGGCAAACCTTTCCTGTAAAGGGCCAGATAAATATTTTAGGCTTTGCGGGTCATACAGTCTCTGTCATAACGACTCAAACCTGCAGTTGTAGCACAAAAGCAGCTACGTATGGACACCATATGGCTGCATTCCAACAAAATATGATTTATAGAAACAGGCAGTGGACTGGATTTGACCCGCAGGCCATAGTTTGTCAACCCTTGGTCTAGGTGGTCTCCAAAGTCTCTTTAAGTTTCAACAGTTCCTTTAGGTTAGAAGTGAATTACTTCGATACCAGACACCAATACATTTAAATGTAAGATCCCAAATGTAAGAACACCACCAGTTTACTTGTTTTTTAGATAACATCTTTTCTTTTGTCTTCCCCAGTGATGAACTGAATTTCAGCTGCATTTATGAAGAGCCTAGAATGTGCCAGGAGGTGCTCATGCTGTAGGGGAATCTAACGATATAATGACTAAATTGTACACCTCAAGTTATTCACAGGGTAATGAAAGAGATAATCAAGTAATTACATAATTACAAAACATTACAATTATTGCGATAATTGTGCTATAATCAGTTATCGAGACAAATCAAGTTCCATTACATCTCAGTTTCAGAGGATAGAGGGGACCGGGTTCAAGGACTTTGCCATGTCACACGTGTAGGATATACAGAAAATCGGCTGGACTACCTGAAGTGCATTCCTGTGAGAACCGATGGTCATGATTTCTCAGAGAAGTCCTGACTCAGGCTGGGACTGGTCCACAGAGCAATGTCATGACAGGTGGCACTTGAGGCCTGAGGGGCGGCCAGTGGAGGTGAAAGTCAGACTTTCTGTAGGTGAGGAGTAGCCTAGGGTACAGAACACGTGAAGGGAACCTCTCATTTTGGAATGCGTCCGCGACATTACATATAAATGGGAAACAGTGGCGAGAGTGTGTGTCAACCCTCACGGGGCACCGTCCCCAGCTCCACAAAGCTTTGTATTTCTTGTTATGCTTCTTTTTTCAGGGAGATGAAGTGTTGGTAGAGGAGATGCTTAGACCACAAGCAAGATATTGTGCCAAGATTTCTGTCTTTGACATATTTATTTCTAAAATGTCATCATGACTTGATATATCCTTTCCATAAAACCTGCAATAAACTCAGCATGCCTTTGACAGTGTGGCTAGAGGATCCAAAGTCTTATCTTAGCCAAGTCTTCAATGGCCACATGTATGTCATTGGAGGAGCAACAGTGCAGATAATTGAAAACACCCTCAACCCATTTCTACTTGACTTTGGGATGCAGTACATTTGTGCAGGAATAAATGTATATTTTTCATATCTTATGGACTCACTGAAGCTTAGAATTTTACCAGAGCCCTTCATCTTACAGATGCTAAATGGCAAGTTTAGTGAAGGGTTATTCAGTACTTGCTTTCAGTCACATAGTTAGTTGATAGAAGAACCAAATTTAGAACCTAGGTCTTCCAATGCTGCCTTCAGAGCTGTAAGAACTGCATTTTATACTGTGACCCAGTGTGCATGCAAGAGCACACCTAAATTCCTAAACTGATGTTTTCTGTTCTTTTCTCCTCCATTCGATTATCACCTTTTAAAAAGTGCTGGTCATGGGCTTCCCTGGTGGCGCAGGGGTTGAGAGTCCGCCTGCCGATGCAGGGGACACGGGTTCGCGCCCCGGTCCGGGAAGATCCCACGTGCCGCGGAGCGGCTGGGCCCGCGAGCCATGGCCGCTGAGCCTGCGCGTCCGGAGCCTGTGCTCCGCAACGGGAGAGGCCGCAACAGTGAGAGGCCCGCGTACCGCAAAAAAAAAAAAAGTGCTGGTCATGACCCACTCAGTTGACTTTACAACCCAGTAAAAGGTCTCAGCTCAGTTTGGTTTTTGATGAACACTGCTCTAGGCATTACTCATATGCCATCACAACCTCACACCAAACGAAAAGGAATACTTTCTTACAACAATATGAACAAATATATCCCTTTAAAAGATTACATGTGTATGCTACATTCCATAAGTGAGCAGAAAGAATTGCGAATATTGGGTTTTCTTGGGTAAAAAGAAGTTTAAATATGCATAAAGGGAGCCACAGATCTGTCAAATATTTTCAAACCACTTTCAAAGATCACTTTCTCCGTGAATTCCTTCCAGACTAAACTCATGGAGCTCTGATCCTCTCAACACTGATGTACATTTTTGCGGTCACTAATCCTAAACCTCATCTTTACCTCATTCCTTCTAGGAAATTGCAAAGAAAAAAAATGCCTATTGGTGTCTGGGAGACTCATGCCCTGCTAATTCCCAAGTCTGTGAGAGGGGGGATGGAGGCGCCAATCTGTAATACAGAGTGACATGTCATCTCTACAGATCCAAATTCTGTATATTTGAGTGCTGAAAATGTAATGGCAGTGCACCAAAAATGTCCAAATCGTGCTGGTCTGGAATGGAACATAGGCTCTTATATGTATATATAATTAGATTTCCAATACCATTGTAGAAACTTTTCAGCCTCTGGACAGCACAGACCAAACTTGATTCAACCTGCCACTAGTACTCCACCCCAAACATCCTTCAGAGTTATACACTTTCAGCAAGGATCCCTTTGAAATTCATTTTGTTTTCTCAGCTACCAGAGCTGCAGGAGGTCATGACTAGGGGGTAAGGAGCAGAAGGGAGAAGCACAGGAAGTAGAGAGCTTGAAAAATCCTTGTGCTGGAGAATCAGTCTACAAATAGGGGAATCACAGCCTGAGACAGTGGACTCCCGGAAGATTGTACAAAATGGCCCTCAGGCCTGATCTGCTCCTTTCGCAGCTTGAACTGTTCTTTCCTAAAGTGGTTTCAATTTCCTCCTTCTCTGAGAGGCGGCAGCAGAACGGAGGATGCCAGGAAGGCAGAGGCCCAGTGCTTTTCTCAGTGGCTGCCCTGGCTGTGCTCTGATAACTGAGCTGATGGGAAAATGGCTCCTAATTAAATCATTTCATAAAAAAGAGACCATTTTCCACCTGAATGCACCCCGCAGCTCTCGTATTGTGTAATTTGTTGTCCTAATAAGCTGGAGAGGTTGAATCCCAAGGTTGTAGCCACTGACGGTCCACAGAAACAGGGTCCATGCTTTGGCAGTGCCCTTGCCCTGTGGAGGGTAATGAGGAAACCTGACAAATGGCAGTTCCTTGTAACAATTCTGTTCACTGGAGACCTGGGGGCTGAGATTTGTGTTTCCCAATCCTTAGGTTTAGGATGATTCTATGTCACTGAGATAAAACAAACCCAGAAAAAAAGTCTCTGTGCCTTCTGTTAACTGAAAAAGAAGCAGGAGAGGACTTTTTGTTTTTTTGTTCGTAGATCTTGAAGTGATGGGGAAAGGAGGGTACTCCTTCAGCTATATTTGAACAGAAACATGGGAAATCTTCACCTCTGTTCAGCTGCACGGTCTTAGGACAGCTGGAGGGGCGATGCCACCCAGTGTAAGTCTGTGGACTCTGAAGGTAGACCAAGTGTCAGTTCCTGCTCTAACACTTAGCAGCTCTGTGGCCCTGGGCAAGTTGTGGCCTTGGGCAAGTTGTGGCAATCGCTTTAAGCCTCATTTTCCTCACCTGTCAGAAGACAAGAATAACACCTCCCTCTTGGGGTGGTAGTGAAGAATAAAGAAGATTGTATTTGAAGAGTGTGTGCAATAGAAAACACTTATTAAATGGTAGAGAGAGAGACCGTTTTCTCCACGTTACAGAAGAGGAAATGGAGGATTAGAGAAATTAAGTAGTTTGAACAAGGTCATAAAACTAGTGAGCGGTAGGGTCAGGGTTTTGTTTGACTCTAAATCCAAGCACCATGGTTTCACTGTTGGTGCGCATCGAAGCAAACATTTAAATACATACAGTTTTAGGGCTTCCCTGGTGGCGCAGGGGTTAAGAATCCACCTGCCAATGCAGGGGACACGGGTTCAAGCTCTGGACCGGGAAGATCCCACGTGCCGCGAAGCAACAAAGCCCATGCACCACAATTATTGAGCCTGTGCTCTAGAGCCCGCGAGCCACAACTACTGAGCCCGTGTGCCACAACTACTGAAGCCCGTGTGCCTAGAGCCCGCGCCCTGCAATGAAGAGTAGTCCCCGCTCGCCGCAACTAGAGAAAGCCCACACGCAGCAACAAAGACCCAACACAGCCAAAAATAGATAAATAAAATAAATAAATTTTAAAAATAAATAAATAATACATACATACAGTTTTACTGGCTGTGAACTGAGCAGAAGTATTCTGATCTGTCTAGAGAAGGCCCATCACAGACCATACAGATTATACTCACTGGGGTGTATCTTGGCAAAGATGATGCCAATTCCCTTTGGTTCTTGGGCCCAGCTTGCTCAAGGATTCCATTGCTCAGAGTCCCTGAGCCCATTTCTCTCTAAATGCTGGAACATTTGGTCTCTTGGGTACCCTGTATCCAGAGTCTGCGGCTTCACTTTTTTTCTTTAGCATCTAAAAAATATTTCTTCTCTTATTTCCTGAAACCCAAAAGAAAATTGGTGGTCCTGGCTCCCTGCCTTTTTACCTCCACTTTTCTCTCAAGTTTCTGTTTTAGTTTGGCTTCAGTGGAAAATTCCACTGCGGCCTTCTATGGATGAATGCAGACTCTTTAATTATATTGAATTTACAGAGATCAATTTTTATAACCCTAACAGTGTTAGTTCCTGAGTTCCTCTGCTTGTTAGATGATCGCGGACGCATTCCTCTGGGTCCAAAAGACCCTCAGGGAGGCTAATTGACAGTGGCCAGGCATCTGTCATGAGTCATTTCTATCGTGTTGGAAAAGAGAAATTTATGGCTTTGATCAATATGTATCCTTAGGGCTCGGCATCTCCTGATTCCATTCTCTTGCCGGCACTCTGGAGCAAAAGCATTTTTTTCCTTTTCTATTGGAATAAATTCCTCCTTGCTACAGTTTCTCTGAGGGCCTTGACTGCAAAATAAATCAGAAACCGTACCATAATTTGGGCTCTGTTAGTTCTCTTTCTCCCTCCTGATTTTCTTGCCTTCCCCTCCTTCCTTCCTTTTTCTTTTTCCCCCCTTCCTTCACGTGCCTTGCTCTTCTACCCTCTCCCTCCCTCTTCTTATCATCTCTCTCTGAATTACTCCATTCTTTTCAATTCAATAAATGTTGATTAGATACCCAATCATTTGGGCTAGGTAACTGAGCATCCAAAAATGAGAATGTATCTGCCCTCAAGGAACCCATAACCTACAACCTAATAGAAACTTTTCCTATATTGCCTTTCTTTTTCCAGTTCATACTGAGGACTGAAAAAAATCTAGATATTATTTAGGGTCAGTAAAGATTATCACAAAATGTCAAAAACACTTTGAGAATTATGTGTGGATTAGTCATTCACACATTAGTATGAATTAATTCAGGAAGATTGCTTTCTCTCATACCTAGTTAAGCGGCTGCCCTGTAAGAATAAAGATTCTTGTTGGAGAAGGAGAAGTGGGGAATTGGGGATCACAAAAAGTTGGAGGTTGGCAGCTTCAGGAAAGCACTTCAAACAGAATATGGACACTGTTTATTAAGAGAGAAATTTGTTTCACCCCAAGGCTTGTCAAACATCTCTGTGAACTGTTGTCATAATTTGAACCAAGGCTGAATCAGAGAATTTGGTGGGCTTATAATTTTTATTTCCTCAGCTGTAAAAATTTTTGACCCTACTCTCAGCAACAGTAGATGGAACTTGTTTACTGAATATCTCCCCCACTAGACTGTAAGCTCCATGAGATCAGGACATCATCTGTCTTATTCATAACTATGTCCTCACGGCCTAGAACAATGCCTGGTCTACACATAGTACGCGCTCAGTAGATACTTGTTGGATGAATGAATGAATGAATGAGTGGAATGACAGTAGCATACAAACTGCTATAGGAGTACAAGGGAGGAGGAAACTACATCAGGTTGAAGGCTTGGTTTAGAAAGAGCTTCATGGAGAAGGTTTTTCAATGAAGAGTTAGGGGACTGGATGCCTGGAGTTCAAGGATAACCCAAGAAGAAAATAACTTTGCTGAGAACAAACAGGGGACACAACCAGTTGGAACAGTAACACTTTGAAAGAACGAACACTCTAACAATTAACTCTTGCTTGAATACAATGGAAACTACAGTCAGATGTGTGCCT